CCTTTAAAAAAATCAAAACATCTTCATTGCACATATTTACATCAAAGAAGTCTATTTTTCTCGTGGCGTTCCCACGAACCCTTTTGAAGAGTTCTATAGTGTCATATTAACGTCTTTATGATGAGGATGTTATGACACCGAAAAAAGTCAAAGAACACAAAATGGACGGCTTCTTTCCGGTTTAGTCCCATCACCTTGCATATACATACACAAGCTGCACGCGGATAGCTGTTAACATAGATTTATCACATTTATCACGTTTAGACCTTCAACAAATTCCTTATAACTTCATTAGGGTTGGGTCAGACTTGCCAAAATCATCGGCTGCTTTGAACTCATTAGAAAGATTTATCATTTGACAATAGTTCACTTCGAGAGGGTGTGTTGAATAAAAAAGTGTAATGATGTGAAACAAATTTGACAAATGCTATCAGTGTGAGCCAGACATGTCAGCAGCGGCAGTCCAGTGAGATTTAACACAGAGATAATAGTGACATCTGCTGGTCACTCGGGAGAATGATGATGCTGGTGCATCGAGCACGTTGATGGAAACCTGTCCTGATGAAAGACAAAGCACAGCTTAGATCTCAGTTTAACGATTTTGCTCTCAAAAAGTGTGCAATACTTTCTCTCCGGCATCTCGGCTCTGATTCTAGTTTAGATTTTTTTAAACTGGCAAGCCAATAAACCCTTGTCTCCTCTCTCTACATCTCCCATGTGCATGCACACCCACACACGCGCAGGCCTACACTTACACTTATTATGCACATGGACGCAAACACACACTGTCTTTAGCCCTGGGAAGGCTGGTTTTCCTCTGTGACATCAAGTTTATTTAATCAATCCAGCACAACCCCAGCTGTCCAACATGAAGTGTTTCCCAATTATCTTAATGTAATTGATCCCTGCTGTTGGCTGCTCCGCCACTGATTACGATGTAATAATATACTGAGTGCACACACACACACAGAGACAGTTTTCTGTATTCTGTGCTCTGCTGTCATCGGATAGCCAGTGTGAGTAATGATAGGACAAGCTGTGACAAGGGGGGTACGGGAAGACATGTACCCCAGGAGATGAAGGATGGAGGGACAGGATGGATGGAGGGATAAAAAGGCAGACAGATATGGAGCTTTTTGGGCTCCAGCGGACCAAACAGCCACTGCCATCAAAACGCCAGCGCGTCCTGCAGGACGGCAAGCCGGACATCATCCTAACAATGTGGTGATAGGGCAGATGAGACGTTAGACATTAGGAAGCACGTCACAACACCTATGGGGAACAGAGGTACAGATGGAATAGAAGAAGACAGAAAGAGGTGACGGATGACAGGTACATTTTATGAAACAGAGAGTCTCTCGCGGCAACTCCCTTTGGTTTGATCCTCAAAGGAAGTACATAAGGAAGTGGACAGTTTTGGTGGCTAACTCCATGATGACAGCGTGAACACGGGTCAGATGAAAAAGCCATTATCATGAAAAGCTGGTTCCGAGGTGCAGAGATGTAAACAAACGGCACTGCACATTGTGTGCAGAAGATCACCTGGCAGGGTGAGCAGTGCAACGGGTCTGCTGTCGGCAGAGTGGCTCTGTGACAAACGAGGGGAAGGAATAATACAACAATATTATTATTTTATTACAAACAGTTAGCCTAAAAGCCTGGGCTTTCCTTCTGCAGTAAATTCCAACATTGTCATGATTTTTATTTTTATGTGTGTTAATGTTGTCAAAGGGATGCCGATCGTTGTGAGACATGATTGAAATCTACAGGGCACACTCCTTCAATACGTTTATTAAAGTTTCTATCTGCCCTCAGTGCCTTTTTCAGCAACACGTTAGCTTTTAGCAGCCAATTAGCTGTCTTTTCCTTCACTTCAATTATTTATCCAATTAATTTCATGCCCCTTTTCATTTGAAACTTTGATATTTGTGTTCAAATATTGCAGCAACTCTGGCTCAGGGGAAGCTTTTGTTTGGTTATAACATCAACCACTCAAACTTAATCTGCACTGTTTGGAGCATTTTAAGGGTAATTGCCCGTTTGTTCAAGCCTCATATATTGTATCGCTTAAAAGAAAAGTTAAGTTCTGCAGCTTCATTACTGAACTGTTTTAAACATTTTGATTCATCCTGTATATTTCACAGTGGATGATGAGGATTTCTTTATGTTTCATCTATCAGCATCACATTTAACTGCATAAAAACGCGGATTTGAGAGTGACCGCCGGTACAAGCCAAACTGCCATTATGAGCAATAACATTATAACGGTGCCCTGTCCCTGTTTTCAATTTCACACTCAATGGCTTCCATGTGGTAGAGCTTAATTGGGGCATCATCAGGGGAGTCTTTGAATCTGTATGAGTGTGTGTGCATATGTAGATAGGTATGTGTGTGAGAGGGAGAGAGAGCGAGTCCTTTTTTTTTAGAAAAGCTTTGCTAAGACACTTTTATGACAAAAGGGTGATTTTTTTTACAGTTCTCTTCCTTCAGTGAGCACACTTTGCATGCCCTTAAAAAACATTACTGAGGTTTTGTAATAAAAACCTTTTTAATGAAGTAAGTAAAAACAGCAAAGCAGCAGCGGCTTCGAATTGTCTCTCTATTTTAGTTTTGAGTCACAAATAATGGTCATGTTGATATAGGTTATTATAAATAATAATTAGAAATTCATTTAACAAGAGAGCAGTGTTTACACCATCTGTCACAGATACACCTATAATACACTGCTGTAGATAATTCTGTGGCAAAAAAACACTGCACAAAGGAAGTAAACCAGGTTTCAGATTTCCATAGGAAGAGGAAACAGACGGAGAAAGTTGACTTTGGTGCTGCTGCTTCTGTTTTCTTTGCCTATTTTGTAAGTGTTTATAATGAGTTAGGTGTCCTCAGCTTGTCTTTCATCTAAAGATGAGAGAAGTTGTTAAAATGCTTGAGAAGCATGTAGAAAGAAGCTGGGGTGGGACAGCAAGTGACAGTTTTCTTGCGTGCTCTGAGTTTGGCTGTTTAACCTGACAGGTTGAGCTTAGCTCACAATCATCAAACAACCTGGACCGCGATCGGTAAATACACATCAAATGGTGTCTGTCCTTTTTGGCCCCTGTCCCTTCACTCCTTTCAGTCACTCTGCTGGCCCAGTGTCAGCTCTTTGGGCTCCGCGGCCAACAGACCATTTCCTTTTCAAGGTAATGATAAAGTGATCAAACAATTTTACGGTCTTAAGAAAACAAAAAAGATGGTACATGCAGACACTGTCCATATGGACAGTCAGGAGCTTCAAGGTCGGCGGTGTAGCCGGGGCAAAGAGCAAACAGCTGTTTTTGATATAAGCTTTGATGATTATTGAACAGTGTAATGCACCATGCAAACAGTGCATCAGAAGCAAATCATTAATCGTTCATAAGTTAGAAGGGAACAAATGCTTAATGCAAATGATAAATGTCAAAGTAAAACGTTGTAAAATGTTGGTTTTAAATATTCTGCTTGGTAAAAAAAAACATTTTGGGACACAACATTCCCTCTCTTGCCTGTATTCAAAGGGAACTGAATTTGCTGACCGGTAACCGTAATGCTCACTATTCTATACACATATGAAAAGCTTTTACTCCGTACTGAAAGGAAAGTGTGACATCAGGCATTCACTCAAGATGGTCAAGAAATATCCCTCCCCATAGTTCCCCCCAGAACCATTATATTTGAGTTTTTTTTTAGCTTGATTCCCTTTATTTAAGCTGAGCTTCCTCGCTAGCATTTCACTTAATGTACTAATGAATTGTGTGTCTTGCCGAGAAACACATTCTTGAACTACTCCTGTGGGTCTTAGATGCAGTTGATATGCAGGAAAAAGCTCTTGCTGCGCAAATAATGAAAGTTTACGGGACATTTTTGATGTTTTACTGGCTTTGGTTGAAGAAATTCAGGGGGAACATTAGGGTGAGGTACGTTTAGACGAGATGGCTCTCAGGGCATGAGCCCTGTCAGCATATGAAAAGCTTGTCGATTATACACGATGGTAAATTGTATTTTGCATGGCTGAATTGACAGCACGTTCCACACTTCCTCAGACCTGTACAAGAGCTGACGGTAATGGAGATGACTTGGATCTATCCCACTAAAACACAGATTTTCAGTATGGTAAAGCAGTATGATGAAAGGAGGAAGTGTCCCAGATAATGATACGGTCGATTAATCTACCAGCTTTATCCATTAGAAGGGCCTAACAAACGCAGCCTAGAAAGAGCCACAGACAGGCGGGCACTTGAGAGTGGAGTTATAAACAGCAGGAGTGTTCATTTACAGAACTGCCCTGTTCTTTCATTCAGCCAACGTGTCAGTGGAACAGGTGTGGTGTATCCAGCTGCATGCGACTAAACATGAACCCTATATTCCTTTCCAGAGGTAGTCACTGAAAAATGCGACCTGCTTCCCTTACGTGTGCGTGAGATCATGCATCTGCGTGTTGTGTGCACATGCACATGAAAGCAGGAAGCTAATCAAATGAAATGCATTCCATATTAATGTGATTTATTACTGCCGTGTAGCCAAATTTGGAGCTTGCAGATCGTCAGCAGCTAACGATATGTGCCACAGGCCCCTGGATGCGTTGTTTTCCTCTTTGCTGACAGACTGTGTTCTTCTATTCCTCCCTCAGGGATTTTGGGATTGAACAACTCTGCTCCAGTTTTGTGTGAATGACGAATGTGAACACAGTATCTTGTTGGAATAAATTAAGTTTAAAAAATGAGTACGGGAAAGTAAGATAGCAAGAGAGCAAGCGACGTGACCCAATCTAAATCTGAATTTAGCACTGTATTTAAAATTGCCATTAAGCAACAAATCTGAAATGTTTGAGTTGTATAGAAAAAAATAATTGGAGAAGATGGAGAAGGGATTTTGAGGCTGGCTGAATATTTGTTTTATAATCCTCATGTGTTAGTCAGAATATTCTCACTAATTGGACCAATCCATGTTGTTGGAGCTATATTTTTATTTTTGTTTATTTTGGGTTTAAGTTAATTTATAGCCTTACTTATTTCTTTTTCTTTTCCTGTTAAAGTTAATTTGGTGTATTTTGTATTCATGCTTTACTCGTATTGTCGTTTATTGGTCACATGGTGTTATGTTCATTTGCATAAGTAGGTCAAGGTGGGAGGTACTTCAGGCTCGAGGGCATATGGTTTTTTACCAGCGTGAGAGAGGCAGCAGAAATGTCTGTGAGCTTGCTTATGTGTGTGAATAAACCGCCTCAAACTCAATCTTGTTATGGACATTACTTTGCTTTGGTACCTCTGAACCTGCGTAAAGCCTAACCATGACGTAGCCTCGAGTGGCCATTTGAGAAGTTTGTTATTATTTGTTTTTGTTTAAGTTTATGGACAAATAGCCACTACAATAAGTAAAAAACCCGCCCTGGATATATCGTTGGTTTACGTGGATACTGGACTTGTCGTTTGCTGGATTACCGTTTCGAAAGTGGATTACTCACCTGGATGCGGGAGACAAACAAAGGAAAGGGCCTAGGAGTGACGGAGGTGTGGGCTGGATACAGTGCAAACATCGAATAATACGACCCATCCGACAGTGTAAAGTTTCCCTGGACACCGTACTGGATAACGGTGAAGCTACTGGAGCGCTGGAGCTGCACTACGGAGTGGAGGATATTATTTGCTGCAATTTGAATTCGCAAAGGCCCAAAGCCTTCACAGGTAACGCGCACGGCCGCGCGCAACAACAGCTACTGCGTGCATTCAACTCCGTGTACAAAGGCAACCACCGCAACAAACAAAGTTCCACAAGGTATGTGCTGTATTCAATCTTTGCAAACAACCGTGGGTGTACATGACCGGCATCAACAAAGGGTAAAATGTCTGACGTTGCATCTAAAGCCAAAAGCGGCACGGCGCTTCCTACAAGAAGACGCACAAGTTTTACTGCTAAAGGAATGATGTTTTTTATGCAAACGTGTCAGGAAAAGAGATCGATGCAATACAAACGAGCCAAATCGTACATGAATCAGATGGATAAGTTGATGCATTCTGCAGACAATATTGATGCAGTCAAGTCTCTTTTGGATCAAATAATAATATGTGTTGATGAGGCAAAACAACATCATTTATCATTTGTGTCACTGGACATACCTCAGGATGAGAAGGAGAAACAAGATAAATATTTTGAACAAAAGGAGAAGTGTTTTTCAAGCTTTATTGATGACGTCAAAGGCTGGTTATCAAATGCAGGCCATTCATATGAACTTCCAATTAAACCACCTGATAATCAAACTGATATTGGGCCTGAGGACAGTGTATCCAATAAAGGTTCTGCAGCGCGTTCAAAGGCTGGCTCTAAATTGTCAAGGATTTCATCCAGTGCATCTGCAAAAATATTAGCGCAAGCAGAGAGAGCAGCATTACAGGAGCGCATGGCTGCTCTAAAACAAAAGCACACTTTGGAGGCGCAGGAGGAACAAATAAGACTTGAACAAGAGGAATTACGGAAGAAACGGGAACATTTAAGGAGAGAAAAGGAACAACTTGCTCTGGAGGCAGAATTAAAGGTGACAAATGCAAAATTGGAGGTTCTGCAAGTAAGCTCAAAGTGTGGCTCTAAAGTGTCAAGATGTGCATCTCAAACATCAGATGGCATGAATTCTTACTTGAAAAGGTCAGAAATTCAAGGGACATATGAACTAAATCCGAATGCTGAACGCTATGTGCCCACCAATAAAAGCTCTGAACCTACCTCCAGTCGCTTGTTAAATTCTGTCCCTGTTGGTGTTCAACCCAAACATGTTGTAAAACAAATACCCATACCTAATGTCATTTCTGTGTTTCAAAGGCAAGGTACACAATCACTTGGTTCGCAAGATGTTTGTGACGATAATCAACCCACCAATTCTCCGGACATTTTGAATATCATGCAGCGTCAAAATGAAATAACTGCGCTGTTGGTCCAACAAAACACAGCCTCTGCTCTGCCTATGAGAAATATACCTGTATTTGATGGTGATCCCCTGTATTTCAAATCTTTTCTCAGAGCCTTTGAAAATTGCATTGAGGATAAAACTCAAAATTTCAGTGATTGTCTGTACTTCCTAGAACAGTACACTAGGGGGCAACCAAGAGACATTGTAAGAAGTTGTCAGCATATGCCCTCTGAACCAGGTTATCAAAGAGCAAAAGCGCTTTTGATTGAACATTTTGGCAGTGAACATAAAATCTCTTCTGCTTACATGGACAAAATCAACAACTGGCCCTCAATAAAACCTGAGGATGTTAACGCTCTGCAGTCATTCGCTTTGTTCCTTCGAGGTTGCTCCAACATAGTACATCATATAAAGTACATGAAGGAGTTGGACATGCCAGCTAACCTCAGGACAATCCTAATGAAACTCCCATACAAGCTGAGGGAAAAGTGGAGAAATGTGGCATGTGACATACTGGAGCAAACTGGAAGCAGAGCAGTGTATGTTGATTTTGTGAATTTCATTGAAAAACAAGTCAAAATTGTTTCAGATCCTCTGTTTGGAAATATTAATGATGTTTCTCCAGCCAGCTATACAAAGCTATCCATGCAAGTTAAGCAGAAAAGGAAAAGTGGTACATTTGCCACCAGCATTAATGCACCAAAGGATGGACATAAAGAAATGGAAAACTTGACAGCTCACAGTAACCAGCTCAAATGTATGTTCTGCTATCTTACCAATCACACTCTGGAAAAATGCTTTCAGTTTAGAAGAAAGACACAACAGGACAAGATTCAGTTTCTAAAGGAGAAGGGCGTTTGTTTTGGGTGCTTGAAACATGGACACACGAGCAAAGACTGTAGGGGTCGGTTGGATTGTGAAGTGTGTCACAGGAAACATCCATCTGTCCTGCATGTGGAGAAGGAGGATACTACAAGGATAACCTCCAAAGAAACTGTGAGCACTGTATCCGGGAAGCAGCAGACGTGTGGTCATATTGGGGCTGGTGAAGAGGATATTGCAGTTTTTTCCATTGTGGCTGTGCAGGTGAAAAGTCGGAAAAGTAATAAAGTTGTGCATACTTATGCTTTCCTGGATCCTGGGAGCTCTGGGACTTTCTGTACTACAAGTATGGCTGAAAGGCTGGGAGTATCAGGAAAAAACTGTAATGTAGTGTTGAGGACAATGGGGCAGACTAAAACCATTAGCACTACTATAGTAACTGGTCTGGAGGTGTCTGGATTTGACACCGATGACTTTATTGAGCTACCATCTGTTCTGACACAAACAAAAATGCCTGTATCTAAAATCAATGTGCCATGTCAGGATGATGTTGCCAAATGGGCGTATTTGAGCAGCATTAGGCTACATGAAGTAGATGCAGATGTAGACTTGCTCATTGGAACCGACTCGCCTAAAGTTTTGGAGCCATGGGAACTGATAAATAGTCAATGTGGTGGACCGTATGCAGTGAGGACCAGAGTTGGCTGGGTCATAAACGGGCCTCTTCGTGCTGGAAACTCTGAAGGTACTGGTGTCAAATCAGGATGCATTGTTGTAACTGCTAATCACATATCTGTGGAACACTTGGAAAGTATGTTGATGCAACAGTATAATCATGACTTTACTGAAAGAACAAGTGATGAACAACTTGAGATGTCAAGAGAAGACATTAAATTCATGAAAATTGTGGAGAGTACGACAGTGCTTAACAATGAACATTATTACATTGACTTACCTTTCAGAATTGACGATCCTGTTTTGCCAAATAATCGCTGCATTGCACTACAAAGACTCCAAAGCCTGAAGAGGGGATTTAATAGAAATAGTTCATTCAACGCTCAATACGTTGATTTCCTTAACAACATGTTAGAGCAAGGATATGCAGAAAAGGTTCCCACAAATGAGCCCACTCTGGAACAAGGAAAGGTGTGGTACATTCCCCACCATGGTGTACATCATCCAACCAAAGGAAAGTTGCGTGTTGTGTTTGATTGCGGCTGTACCTACAAAGGTACATCATTGAACAGTCAGCTCTTGCAGGGCCCAGACTTCACTAACACGCTAATTGGTGTCCTTCTTCGGTTTAGAGAAGAGCCCATCGCTGTTATGGCTGATATCAACGCCATGTTCCATCAGGTCCGGGTGCCATATAAGCACGTTAACTTCTTGCGCTTTCTATGGTGGCCCAATGGAGACACTACAGCGGAGCCAGAGGAATACAGGATGTGCGTGCATTTGTTTGGAGCTGTATCCTCTCCAAGCTGCTCAAACTATGCACTGAGGAGAACTGCTGAGGATAATGCACTGCAATATTCACCCGATGTCCTTCGTACAGTCAAGACAAATTTCTACGTGGACGACTGTCTTAAGTCCACTGTGACAGAGGAAGATGCAGTGAAGCTCATACATGGATTAACATCTCTCTGTAAAAAAGGTGGCTTCCATCTCCAAAAGTGGGTCACAAATAACTCAAATGTGTTTGCACTTATTCCTAGCAACATCAGAGCAGTGGGTTTGGAGAACATGGATTTGGACAGGGACCAACTCCCTGTGGAAAGAGCTCTGGGGATGCAATGGTGTGTTCAAGGAGATACGTTCAGCTTCAGGACTGCAGTGCAGGAACGTCCACACACTAGAAGGGGCATCCTTTCTGTGGTGAGCTCTCTTTACGACCCGCTGGGTTTTTTGTCTCCTTTCATAATCCCTGCCAAGTTACTGTTACAGGAGCTGTGCAGAATGAACTTCAAATGGGATGAGCCAGTTCCCTGTGATGTCTCTGAACATTGGTCTGAGTGGCTCTCTGAACTTCAACATATGAGTGGATTTAAAGTGGAACGGTGCATTAAACCCAAAAACTTTGGAACACAATTGAAAGCAGAACTGCATCATTTTTCAGATGCTAGTCAAATGGGATATGGCACTGTTTCATACTTGAGATTGGAGAGCACTGACAATGTGCATGTTTCATTTATCACAGGCAAAGCTCGTGTCGCTCCTCTAAAGCAACTAACCATTCCACGCCTTGAGCTTGCTGCAGCTGTGCTTGCTGTTCGAGTGAACACAATGCTGTTGAAAGAGCTACAGTTGCCATTGCAAAGGTCATTCTTTTGGACCGATAGCACTACTGTTCTCAAGTACATCTTTAATGAAACAAAGCGCTTTCACACATATGTTGCCAATCGTGTCAGCACCATAAGAGAATCCACAGACAAAGATCAGTGGAGGTATGTAAACACCAAAGACAATCCTGCAGATGAAGCTTCTCGAGGACTAAGAGCTCAGGAGTTTGGAAAAGGAAAATGGCTAAAAGGACCGGACTTTTTGCACTTGCCCCCCACCAGATGGCCGAAACTCGACTTGGACGCCTCTTCCATTCCATCGGATGATGCAGAGGTGAAAAGGGAACTTAAGGTGAATGCTGTTACAATACACAGTGACAATCCCCTCAGTCAGCTCATTCACTATTTTTCATCCTGGAGAAAGCTTAAAACATCAGTGGCCTGGCTGTTGGAGCTTAAAGAAAGACTTTTACTTTTGAGCTGAAAGAGAAAAGAATATGTGGTCAACCAGAATGAGAATGTGGAAAAGGAGATTAAAAAATTCAAAGCCGCACTTGGAAAATCCAACTTGACACCAGAGCGGTTGGAGGAAGCCGAAAAGGCAATAATTCAGTTTGCGCAAAACCAAAGATTCAGTACTGAAATTTCCTCACTAAAACATGACCCAAAGACTGTTTTTAAAGACAGTCCTCTGTATCGCCTCGACCCCTTCATCGAAGATGGCATCCTCAGAGTTGGTGGACGTCTGTTTAAGTCTGTTCTGCCGTGGGAGG